TTTTTTTTTGTGCAGGCAGCACTTGCGCTTCTGTGCCCTCCGAGCACTTCTTGATGTCAGGTGTACGTTTTGGTACTTCGTAGGATGTTTACAGCCATAATAATGTCACGATGACGGAATCATCATTTCCGCTTATTGTTGCTCACTTTGAAGTTAGGTGGCGGTACGGTCGCTTGTGTTCCATCGGCGCATCACTTTTTTTTTTTTTGTCTTTCTTGGTGCCCTCCGCACATTTAATTCGTGGCAGTGGGTATTGAAAGCCAAACCCCGTTGAAGTACATCAACTTTTTCTGATGTTGAACGACACGATAAAAAGTTGTAACCTGTACAATAACATTAATAAGTTGGTAGGAAATATTGAAGTACTTTTGAAGTGCTTCAAGAAAATATTGAATCACAAAATGTATCTTTTAATTAGTGGGTCATTGATCTTTTCTTTCCTCCCATCTAAAATTTGTTTTGATTTTAAAAAGTACAATACTGTAGGTTTTTTTCTCGATTAGTGAATTCCTTTTAAAAAAAATAGTAATTGGTTATTTAACCAAAAAGTTTTTCATATTTTCTACCACATAAAAAAAAGTCAGCCAAACTACTATTTTTGCCGTGACTTTTTAGAAAAGATTATTTGTGCTTCTATTTTTCTAAATTTGAAGAAAATAGTCAATTGCTAATTTACAAAATGTTACTATGAAAATAGTCTTAACACGCTGCCAGACTTTTTAATTTTCTGGCATGTAAATATTCTGCCGAATAAAACAATTATTTACAATTCAAGATTTCTCCAATCGTGACTGAATTGTACTGGTTATAATTCATTCATTTTATTGCAGTCTCGTTGATGTGAAAATGTTGATCCATCCTTCAAACTCACTTTTCCATTCCCACTGTTCGATTCTCCGCGGTGGGGCTGACGCGTACTCCATGCGCGTACTTAGACGTCGGTTCCGCACCGCAACCGCCGTCTAATCTCCAACACATGTGTATTTTAAGTCCAAATGTACTTTTAAATGTTGTGTGTATGTTTCTCTCAAAAAGAATAAAGACAAGTACCACACGTGTTGGACTTAAACATTCTTTTTGGAGATACCTGTAGAAATCCACTTATTCCACCACAAATGTATTTTTCCACCGTTGATAAAAACCCAAACCATGCAGCGTAGTTTCTATTGCAGTTAAAGACGGCAACAGGATTAACTGGATCCTAGATTTGTGGGGGTGCGTGCTTGTGTTTTTTCTATTTGGACAAACTTGTAGCCAAAGTCAGCCCCCCCCAAAAAAAAAAAAAAGTTGTCCCTCCCTCGTGTCTGGTGCAGGCCCGTTGTAGATAAACTATAAACAACTCCACGCCCTCCAGACGGACCACATTCCTGATTAGTCGCGAGCAATTGTTTCCGGGTCATGAGAGACTTTTTTTCTTTCTCTTCCCTTTCTCGCTCCTTCACTCCCACCCACTTTTTTTCCCCCTTCTATTTTTTTTTTGGGGGGGGGGCGGGGGGGGGTTGTATTTAGACAAGTGGAAGAGCAGCTGTGTGCTTGACCTAAGAGGAGGATGTTAAAGAGTTGTGCAGTTTTTGTTGTGGTTTGATTTGGATTCTGAATCATGCGTTGTTCTCGCCGAGGCTTGTCCAAACAATAACCGAGGAGGGAGAAAATGTGGGAAACATTAGGCGCGTTTTCATTGACCACAGGAATTTAACCCAGAAACTTTTGGACGACCATTTTGGCCGCAGAAACTTTTGTATTACTCACGCTTTGTGCCGCCCTGAGCCCAAGTGAACACCAAAAGTCTGGCGTGTTCTCCGCCTTACTTACCAACGAAACAAATAACCGAAACTACAAAACAAAACAATCTACAGAGTAAACAAAGCAAAACAAGGCCACGTCACACATGGGCACATGCGGGCGTGTGCGATGGTCGTGTCATATGATTCATGTGATTGCTTCCTTGTGCTAACCGCCACCGCGCACAATAGAAAAAAAACAGAACGTCGAGAATAATAAGCCACAGTTTAAATATAACAAATACAAGGCCGCGCCATACGGGTGACATGCACTGGAAGACATGAAGTGCTTTCGTAAACAAATGCTCGTGTTGCTGTAATTGTTGATCTTGACGGGCATTAATGAAACACAATATTTACGTCATTGCTCGTTTGTTCTAAAAAAAAAAAAATGTGGAAATGACCCTTTATCGTTGTCATTTTGTGCAGACATGGCGCTGGACAGCCCCCACCTGTCCCGCTTCGAAGCCGCTGGCCCCCTTTCCCTGTCGCCCTCCTTCCAGATGTCCACACTCAGCCTGCCGGGCCAGGCCGCCACCAACGTCTCCTCGCCCCTGCAAAGCCCCATCCTGAGCGAGGTGGGCAGCAATGCCAGACTAGAGGAGGAGGAGGAGGGCAGGAGGAAGGTATATGCCCCCCCCCTGATCTGAAATCAGAAATTACATATCTATTGTAGAAGACTTGTATGAATAAATATGAATTTAATATTAAGCCCTTTCACATACACTCGTGCCTTGAGATACGAGTGATCCAAGTTAGGAGTTTTTCAAAGTAGAAACTGTCATTCGAACAATTTTCTTTTTGCTTCGCGATATAAGCGCCGCGTGGTGTCAGTGAACCCAACTCGGCCATTTGGCAGATTGGGAACTATTTTAACTCAAAAGACTCGAAGCTGTTTGTTGCCACTCCCAGTTGAAGTTTGCTGTCAAACTCGTGTAAAACCGTCGTTTGTATTTCAAACAAAAATAACTTGGCGCCGTAATAAGTGTTGCCTTATTTAGCCCTCAATTCTGGTGAATTGATTTAATAAATCCCCCCAAAAATATTTGGAAATGACCTATATTATGTTGAACATTTCTATTGTCTTAATTAGTACATTGAAATGATATTTAGAAATGTTGGAACAGAGGTATGCACTTTTTTTTTTTTGAAAGATTATTATTATAATTATTATTAACATATTATTTGCTCCTCAGAGGTATCCCGCCGACAAAGCCTACTTCATTGCCAAAGAGATTTTGACCACAGAGAGAACCTACCTGAAGGATCTGGAAGTCATCACTGTGGTGAGTGGATAAAATAAGGCAATATGGCCTGAAAATAACATTGATACCATTTCGCCAAAAAAAAGACTACTTTTTTTCCTCACAGAAATACGAATTTTTTTTCTTTTTTTTCCTCCTCACAATTTCTAATTTCAGACCCCCCCCCCCCTCCCCCCAACAGTGGTTCGAATGAAGACCTGAACATGAAAGAATACAGTCCACCTCACACACGCACATGCACGCACACACCTTTCAATGTTCCTTTCTTCACATGGGTGAAGACTGACTACCTCTGGATTGACAAATGTCCTCAAATGTCACACCACGCTTGCTGTTTCATAAATGTTTGGATGCATTTTTTTTCCCAAACAATCTTGCTGTGTTTATGTGGAGTCAGCAAATAGAATAAAGTTCAATGTTAAACACTTGAAAAGTACATTGCACTCACTGTCAAATCAATTGTGGCCAGTGATGGCAGCAACGCGTTACACAGTAACTTTACAAAGTGCACATTTTCAAGTCATCTGACTTTAGTCTCTCTTCTAATATAATTCGACGTTACTTTGCAGAACATATCTGCTCCGGCAAGCAGGCATCATCCGTATTTGAGAGAGAAATGCATTTGCTCTCCTACCTTATCTTATGCTGTCATGCCCTCCAAGTCTTTCCACTCCAAGCATTCACAGCAGTTGTGCTTTAATGCCAACTCATTCCAAGTTGCACTTGCTGTTTTGTCAGAGTGCCCATTGTCATGACTACCAGAGGATCGGTGACGTGATGCTAAAGAATATGTCTGCTCTCAAGGTGAGATTTCACCCATTTACAGCTCCCACATTTCATCCCCAGCGGTACTTGATGTGAAATGTTTGAAAATGCCTGTTGCCCACCCACCCTAGGGCTTTACCGGCTACCTGCAGAAGCACGACGAGGTGCTGGCGGAGCTGGAGAAGGCCAGCAAGCGACTGAAGAAGCTGGAGACGGTCTACAAGGAGTTTGAACTGCAGAAGGTGTGTTACCTGCCACTCAACACCTTCCTGCTCAAGCCCATCCAGCGCCTCATGCACTACAAGCTCATCCTGGAGCGCCTGTGCAAGCACTACGGACCGGCCCACCGCCACCACGCAGACTGCAAAGGTGAGCGGGCGCGCAAATTGCATGGCGTAAACACACACACGCACGCATTCAGCAAGAAGTAGTGGTCGGTCGGG